TCCTCCCAGAGGACTGGAGTGTGCAGGGAGGATTGTATGGGAGAAGGCAGTCCCGAAGAAAGCTTGGACCCAAGCCATTTAGGGCTTTAAAGGTAATAACCAACACCTTATACTGGGCCCGGAAACTAATAGGCAGCCAGTGAAGAGTTTTTAACACAGGGATTATGTGATCTCTCTGAGATGTATCTGAGACCACTCTGGCTGCCATGTTTTGTACTAACTGAAGTTTCCAGATCAAGCATGAGGGTAGCCCCATGTACAGCGCATTGCAGAAATCCAGACGAGAGGTTTCCAGCGCGTGCACCACAGTCTCAAGATCCCTTACTTCCAGAAAAGGGCGCAGCTGGTGTATCAGGCGAAGCTGATAACAGGCACTCCTGACCGTCGCGTTCACCTGATTCATCATTAGGAGCGACGAGTCAAGGAGCACCCCCAAACTGCGAACACAGTCCTTCATGCAGAGTTTGACCCCGTCCAGGACTGGAGGTTGCAACCCAATTCTCGGTTGGTCCCTCCCATATCTAAGTTTACCTTTCATGACAGTGTTTTGTGTTCTGGTATTTTGTCCCACTCAGCCCACAGCTATAGTTTGTTTTGGCTGCACATTTCTTCACTAAAGGAGCCAACATGGTGTAGTGGTTCAAATGTTGGGACTGTGACTCTGGAGACCAGGGTTCAAATCCCTGTTCAAGCATGAAAATTCACTGGGTGACTTTAGGCAAGTTACACGGTTTCAGCCTTAGAGGAAGGCAAAGGAAATCTCCCTCTGAACAAATCTTGCCCAGAAAACCCCACAATAGGGTCACCTTGAGGGTTTCTATAAATCAGAAACAACTTGAAGGCACACAACAATAACATGATTTCCTTGCTATAGCCTTCCTTTGTAATCCATTTCATAAGGACTAAAAAATGCAAAGTTTCCAAATCTTTCAAACCCACCTGTGTCTGTTTGCTCCTGACACCGCTACTCTCCAATGCAGAGACTGCCAAGGTGATGACTGTTGCAAGGTACTGCAGGTGCAGAGTTGTAAGCAAGGGAAGAAACCTGATGAGAGAGATGCAAAAACAAAAAAGGATGAGGGAATTCAAGCACTTCTTTGCTTGTTTGCTTGTCTTGGTCTAGGCAGCAAGTCAGGCCTGATGATGAATTTCTTGTGACAGATGTGAAAGCTTCCAAATGTTAGAGCAGGGGTAGGCAACCTTTCCCCTTTAAGGGCCGAAGGACTTCAGCTCCCAGAATCCCAGGAGCTATTGGCCAACATGGCTGAGGCTTCTGGGAGCTGAAGTCCCTTGGCCCTTAAAGGGGAAAGGTTGCCTACCCCTGGCTTAGAGAATGAATGAAACACATGGGCCTTTGTGTTAATAAATCGACAGAAGAAGGGGTGCAGAACGGCTCCCCTGTGCCCATAACAATCATGCAGCCTTCAAAAGATCAATATGCCCTTGCCTCAAGAGACTGTAAACTTGAATATGAGCAATGTTCCCCAGCTCCACAAAAAATAGTAATAGCTCTTTACTGATATTCTTAGGTTTAGTAAACTTGTAGCAATGCTTTAAAACATCTTCAGTCTATGGCTACTTCCCTAGAATATTATTCAGATAATAGGCTGAGCTAAAGGATTGCTAAAAATCAATCTCGGCTTTGAACTGCAGGTTTCTTCCTCATGTAGCTGAGGACATAAACGAATCTGAAAGGCAGATTTTTGCTTAAAACTAGGGGAGGGAGGATTCCATCATTCAAATCAACTATTTGCCAGTTCTCAGTGACTCATATCTCCCTCCCACCTACAGATGTATTTCCTTCCTTCACCATTCTATCTATCTTAATTCCCTGACATTTCTGTACAAATAAATTAATACTAAAAGGGAGTGGGGCACTTTAATAAGCAAATTGTCCAAAGCAAATCAATCAATTAGTGCAAATGCATTCTGAAAATATATTTACTGAAAACCAGGATATAAGAGCTGCCTAAATACTCTAAAGACATCAGACCTCATCTGATCTTGGAAGCTAAGTAGCATCAGCCCTGGTTAGTACTTGGATGGGAGACTGTAGGCTCTATTTCAGAGGAAGGAACCAGCAAAACTATCTGTGAGTATTCCTTGCCTAAAAAAAACTCGATGAAATTCATGGGGTTGCCATAAGTTGACAGGCAGCTTGAAGGCACACACACATACACATGTGCACACACACACACACACACACACACACATTATCTCAACTGCAGAAGCTGGGATTTTTCAAGCAAGTATAGTAAGCATTCAGCCACAGAATTCTTGAGCCATCTAAAAATAATCACACACTTCTTTATTATTAGCACACATGCATACACAATATGTATGTATCAATGGTGTGTGCCCAGTGTATACTCTTGACAATACACGATCATAGGACAATAATGATTTGGCCTCAAATACTGGAACAAGGAGCAATATGTACAGGAAAGTGTTCTTAAGCAATAATAATCCCAAAATGATAAGAAGGATTCACATGACTCCATACATAGTGAAAGAACCTGTGAAGGATGTTGCAGAGCCATGTGAGCTAGTTCCAGCTTCCAAAAACATGCCCTGGCCATGCACTTCACTTTTCCATGGAGCGTATCAGAAGGGTGTTTGGTGCAGTCAATCTATTAAGGCCCTCCCCTTGTAGGCTGAGACTTCCCTTAGCCACCCTACTCCTGCCTGATTGTTTGCTTACTTGCAAATTAAGAGGTGGCACTGGATGACAGCTTCCTCCTTGATCAACCTCTCAGTTTTGGCTTTGCACAAAGGCTCACAGCATGCTCCAACATTCCCCCTTGAGAAGTACAGGAGGTCTTCAAGGACAGAGGTCCCTTTGGTCAGAGAGAACCAAGAGGAGAGGAAGAGCAAAGAAGTGGGAAGGCAAGATAGATAATCCCAATGTTATGGTCCATCTGGGATTCAGAAGGGTAGCAGGGGCTTCTCTCTCCAGCCAGTGAGTTGCTGTAATGTCATCTGGATTGAGATGGGCGGACAAACATGCTTTGAGATAAGAGAAGAGCCATGGAATACAGGGTGAGAAGAAACCTTCTCATCTGTCCTTGAGCTCCTGTCTTTAATGCCTGGGTGTGAGGTAAAGGTAAGGCCCCCTCTTGCTCAATGAAAACAAATCAGCAGAGCATCTAGATCAGGGGTAGGTAACCTAAGGCCCGGGGGCTGGATGCGCCCCTCTCCCTGAGACCTTTGGACCGGCCCCAGACCGGTCCTGCCGCCGCCGCCGCCGCCCGCCATGATGATATTGATTATTGTTGTTATTATTTGTTCTTGGGGTTTTCTTGGCAAAATCTCCACAGGGGTTTTGCCATGGCTTTTCTGGGGCTGAGAGTGTGTGCATGCATTTTTTTAATTTTTAATTTTTTTTAAAAAAATATTTTTTTAATTTATTTATTTTTGGTGGTTCAGCCCCCTAACTGTCTGAGGGACAGCAACCCGGCCCCCGGCTCAAAAAGGTTGCCTACCCCTGATCTAGATAGATCTGTGAGCAAGCCTAGAGGGAATAGCTGAGTGGAGATTCAAACCCTGGTTTCCAGTCACAGTCCAACACTCAAACCACCACACTACCCTGGATCTCCATTAAAAACAAAACCAGAATTATTTGGCTCCATTACTATGGCTTCACCAAAGGACCTACTCTACCAGTGCCAATGAGTAATAGCCACCATTGTGTTTAATACAGTTAGCTATTATGTCTGTAGAGCTTCAACAAACAAGGCAATCTTGACTGGGCAGGAATCAGGATCCTCACCCACATACCCATCAATATGAATTAAAGCTTCCTTGTTTGTGTTCTTAGTAAGTGGATGGCAGGGAAAGTGGCTGCTAGGCTTATGTGTAGCCCTTGTTTTAATGTGTGTGAAGGTCTTCTGAATACAACTTATGTTACAACACTAAAGCTTTTTTTGCAGAGAGATTATCATTCTTTTCTTGTCAGCCTGTTCTGTATCATCCTAACTATACATGATTCCAAGAGCTGTCCAAGAGTTTTTAGCCAAACAAACTTCACTTGCTGACTTCCCTATCAACACAGGAAGGTCAATAGTAATGGTGACAGGAACTACAAAGTGACTCCAAGTTCCTTTAAAGAACTTTTCAGTGCCTGAAGGAGACCAAAGTGAACCAGATTTTGGTTTATTTCAATAAAAATGAAGCAGATTCTATTAAGGTTAAAGTCTACCCAGTGTTGGTATCAGCACTATTCTAAACAAGGATGATATCGAATAATATGAAAAAGCTTGTAATAGTATGCATTGGTGTTATCTGCAACAGGTCAAACTACTGTCTTCCAAGTGCTTGAATGAATTAATAGGATTCTGTACACACAGGACAGAGTGGGTAAGTACTGCTGGTCCAGGGCCAATTTTCTGCTGCAGAACGCTCCAGGGACCACAAAGTCTGCATCCGCACTTCAGAAATAATTCAATTTGACTCCACTTTAAACTGCCATGGCTTGATGCTATGGAATTCTGGGTTTCTAGTTTGTTGTTGCACCAGAACTCTCTGACAGAGAAGACTAAATATCTCACAAAACTAATGCAGATGCAGCCAAAGACTACCAAAAGAAAGAACAAAAAGAGCCATGGAAATAACCCAAAGATTACTTGTGGTTTTGAAAAAAAATAGTATGTATTTATCTATGTTTAACAGATAATTAACTATCCAGGGGTGTGCAGTTGCATGTGAAACAAAGGGAAGCATTTTGGAACAGCCATCCAAACAACAAGTTGAATTAAGATATCAGCTTGCATTTTTGCAACTTTGAGAAATATTTGTTTTCAGAGAGCATCTTGTTTATATTTTTCTGTTTGCTTTAAATCCCATACTTTTGAAGGTCTAACAAGAGACTGATTAAGTTTTAGATCTTCACTTTAAAACCTGAAATAGCCAACAGGTCTATGTATGCAGCCTGTAAATTTGTCGCAGATAAAAAAAAAAAAAGGAAAGAACACTTCTGTTTTGGAGAGCCAGCATGGTGTAGTGGTTTGAGTGGTGGACTATGTCTGGAGAACAGGATTTGAATCCCTGCTTGACCATGAAACCCACTGGGTAGCTCTTGGCAAGTCACATTCTCTCAGCCTCAGAGGAAGGCAATGACAAACCCCCTTTGAAGAAACTTGCCAAGAAAACCCCACAACAATAAGAAGCTTCTGTTCTGAAATACAAGAATCTCCAACTACATTTATCTACTGAAAAATGCTAGTTAGGCCTACACTTTAAATATATGATTGCAGGAATCATATTAGAGACAGTGGGTTTTGCTTTAAAGATGATGATATATGGTTCCAGCTAGTGTGCCTTTCCAGTAAGTATTTATTTTTGTTAAAACATGCTACAAACACCATGAACAGTAGCTTCTTTAGACAAGAAGTAGCCACACAGATATAGACAGCCTATAAGTTCACATCTAAACAAATCTCTCTTAGCTACTACCTAATTAAGCTTTCCAGGTGGATTCTCATAGCCTGTGGAGCTGGTTTACGAATTTATAAATGACTGGGGCATCAAAAGACTCTGCTCAAAATGCTAACAAATATCGAGCAGAATTCATACAAGAGTGGGTTAGTATTTTGCAGCTGAAAACTGAATCTGCAGCAGTATTATTATGTAGGATTATAACAAGCAGATCACCCCAGTACTTGCTAGAAATGAAGACAGGAACAAGAGGCAAATCTG